AAAAAAAAAAAAAAAAAAAAAAGGTATTAGTTCTAGCATAGTATTTTTAGCCCATACACTGGGCTGGGGCTCTGGGGAATGGGATGATTTGGCCTTTCTGAAGTTCCCCAGAGAGTGTGGTCAGTCTACTGAGGATAACACCAAGAGCCTCCTCAGGCTGGTAGGGCAAAAGTTTCCAGGTTGTGCCTCTTTTTGTCTCACTTGAACACCTGTGGCAAGGACAGTAGATTGAGACCTTGCAGCCACAGTGTGAGTAGCAGTACCCGTGTGCAGGTCCCTGACTGCAGCAGGCCCTAAATACTGGATGGTTGTCCATTTCATTCTTCACAGCCAGGGAAGGACACGTCACTAGCTTCCTTTTACAGGTGAGAGCTAGAGACTCGGCATCTTCAGCGAACTGCCCAGGTCTCACAACTAAGAGGTGGAAGTGGGGTCAAAACTAGTTTCTTTTTTTCGGGGGGTACCGGGATTTGAACTCGGGTCCTTGTGCTTGCGAGGCAGGTGCCAGAACCACTGAGCTAAATGGCCCCCAAAATCAGTTTCTGAGGCCAGAGCCATACTCTTAGCCACAGCTGTCTGACTACCCAGAAGTACTGTGGCTGGAGGGAAACCATTGTCCTAGACACGCAGAACATTGTGTGACCCTTGGAGCCTTCCAGGACTGGCCTCTCTAACTCCCACATCTTGGATAGGGGAGGAAGGCACACTGGAAATTAATAGAATCTGGGACTGCTGCGAAGGGAGGGTGCCCAGACCCCAGTTTCATCGCCTCTGCACTTGGCTTTAAATGTCCAGCCCTTTGAATGTCCTGACTCTAGTCCTTTGCATTATGATCAAAGCCTGAACTCAGCTCCTGGGGCTGGTACTTGGCTGGAGGAAAGCTGAGTGATGCTGAGGACCCCCTTTGGGCTCCCCAGCCACACTTGCAGCCCTACTCTGGGCTCATCATTGGTTTGAGCGTACAGCCACAGAGGGGATTCCCAAGGTCCTGCCCTTGGCCTTCTGGCTCACAGCCAAGGCCTGGCCTGCCTGCTTGCCTCACAGGACCGCACCTGTGAAATGGTTGAGGACACAGAATCCAGCCGAATGGTTAAGAAGATGAAGAAGCGCATCTGCCTCGTCCTGGACTGCCTCTGTGCACACGACTTCAGCGACAAGACCGCCGACCTGATCAACCTGCAGCACTACGTCATCAAAGAGAAGAGGCTCAGCGAGCGGGAGACCGTGGTCATCTTCTATGACGTGGTGCGCGTGGTGGAGGCCCTGCACCAGGTGAGGCCCCCATGCCTCTGCCCTCACCCTGAGGTGCTCTGCATCTGGGAATGTCCAGAGGAAAGAGGCTGAACACGGTGTCCCAGCTGAGGCGCAGCACTGCATGCTCCTGGTACAGGCTGGCCGGGCAGCCCACAGAACCTGCGCAGTGATTACTTGTGTGTGCAGATGCGGACCTGCAGTCCTCCGGTTTGCGGACAAATGCAAGATGCCCGCCTGGCACTGCAGCCCGTCTGTTTTTGTGGGGCTGGAGCCCAGGGGCACACAGCTTCTGTCGGCAGCCTGCAGCGCTTAGTTACAGAGTTAAGACTGTTCATTTTTGACCCCTGTCCCTGGCCAGGGCTTGGTTTTTCCCCCCAGAATGGTTGCTTTCCCCCGGCTGCACTAACCAGAGAAGGAGTGGAGGAGGAGGGTACCTGGTGGGCCCTGACTCGGGCAGAGCTGCTCATTCAGACCTCGGTTAGTGAGGCCTGAGGTTCTCGCCTGCTTTCCCACACACCTGGAGAGCCCACAGTTTACAGGGTGAGCCCCGTGCACCTTTTACTTTCCTAGCGCACACCATATGCCTGTTGGTTTTCAGAAAAACATCGTACACAGAGACTTGAAGCTCGGGAACATGGTGCTCAACAAAAGGTAAGTTTCCGTTTCTCCTTCCATGATGTTACCTTGCAGTGGGGACAGGTTGCTTGCTGCAAGTACCCAGGGCCCTGCAGTCCCCATGCGGACCCTGACTCAAAATAGCCCAGTCTCCCAGAATCCAGGCCATGGGTGGGATGCCTGCTTCTGTGCCTGCCACACAGACGATGGTGCTTGCTGATCGGGAGTTTAGAGCTGCAGAAAGGGAGGGCTGGAAAGACTTTGGATGCTTTCCCTGGCCCGTCCATTTGTCATGCCTGGCTCCCGGAGAGTGCTCAGTAGATGACTACACAAATGGAGGAACCGGGAAGGAGTGAGCAGAATGAGGCCTTGCATGGGTTGAGTCCCTCAGGAAACAGACTGAGAGGAGCACACAGGAGGCTCGTCAGGCAGTGCTCAGGGAGCAGGGCGGAGCTGGGCTGAAGGGGAAGTCGCACTACAGTGAAGGTGCAGCAGGGCTCTGCCTGAAGGGCACTGGGTCTGGGTGCCCATCCAGGTGTAAGCGAGGAGTTAGGCTCTCACGCAGCCCAGCCCCTAGTCCCCAGATGTGGCTGTCCCTAGGGAGACTTCCTGAAGAGGGACACAGCTATGAGTGGTCAGAAGCCAGCACACAGCGGCGGGCGGAGTGCCTGGGTCTTGGGTTCTGGGCAGCTCACCACACTGTCCTTGAGAAACCAGTGGTAGAGGCCTCAAATCATCTGAGCCATCACCCCACCCTGTGAGAAGGCCGGCTCCTTTGGAGGGCGGGGGTAAGGGGCACCAGCCACACAAGGGTTCGGGATAGACAGGTAGAGGGGACCTCTCTGGACCACTAGGATCCTAGAAGTGCAGGGCTAGGGAGGCCGTATCTCCCCACACCTGCTCTTTTCCCTCCCTGACCTCACTCAGCTCAAGGTGTATTTGAAGCCTTACAGAAGGCAGCAGAGATGGCATGGTGGGTGATTTGTTTCGTGATGTGTTCAGCCTAACCCAGGAGGGACCCTGAGCCAGCATGCTATCCCTACAAAGTGGCGAGAGCCACAATGGTTAGAGGAAAAGAAGCTCAGGGAGCCGGTCCTCTGGGGAGAGGGGTGAGCACCAGGTCCAGGCTAAGCTGTCTCCATCCTCCTTCCAGCTGCACCTTGTTGTGCAGCTGCAGAGATCATCTCTGGGCCACAGCGCCTGCCCCTGTGATGCTCACTGTCTGATGAAGTACTGATCAGAAGGCAGGTAACACGTGGTGATGGTACTGTTGGTTGTTGCTATAGCAGGGATTGAACCCAGGGCTTCGGCACTGAGCTAAACCCCCCTTTTTAATGTAATTTGAGACAAATTCTCACTAATTCACTAAGTTACCCAGGCTGGGCTCTCAAACTTGTGACCCTGCTGCCACAGCCTCCCAGAGTGCTGGAATTACAAGCACGCATTATCATGATTCACCAGATACCATATATTAAGGACATTTGTGCAGAGGGCTGGAGGCTTATGCAGGGTCAGCGAGTCAGTTTATGAAGGATGAGTAAAGATTTGCCAGCCTGAGAAAGTGAAGAGATGAGAGAACCTGACCCTGTCGTGCTCTTAGTCTGGAGGGAAGGAAACAGGAAATTCCAGGACTGCTTGAGCCTGTTCTGGCTGAGTGAGGAGTTGGGGAAGATGGAGCAGGACGTGGGGGGTCAGACTTGGCTCTCATCCCAGGACTTCCTCTTATCTCGGAGATTGAGAATTTGGTAGTTTATTTACGCACTGATTGAATTCATTCATTCTCTGAGCTCACATTTTCATGTGAGAACGTAGAGGTAATTCTAGCTTCCTGGAAATACTGGGGTGAGATAAAAATAAGAGGGTGTACCACTGCCCGGTAGGGCTCTGCCCGTCCTACTCTAGCAGAGCTTGGGGCTCCTTGCTGCAGAGACAAGAGAGCAGGCCACAGGCTCTCTTCGCTCAGGAGGGGCAGGCTGCTGTGTGTTGCATGGTACCCAGCCCTGAGTTTTAGAGAGCATCTGTCCTACAGAAGGGCATTCGGGTCCTGCCTGCCCCAGGCCTCTGTGGCACCTTGGGCCAGTCACTGTCCTGCTCTGGACTGCAGGCCCACTGTTGATAGAGAGGACAGTTCTTTTTGAGTCTTACCTGAGTCTTACCTGAGCCGATGCCCTCTAGGCCAGACTAGAGAGCTGGGGTCTATACAGCTGTCAAGGGTTGCCATGGAAACGCACAATCGAGGCTCCTGCCTGCTCACCACACCAGTTCTCTCTTCTCTGGGCACCTAGTCTGGAGCACCCCGGCACGACTGCAGCAGCTGGTTCTGCTGTGTGAACATGAGTATCACAGGCCACAGGGCCCTGACACCTCTCTCAGACCCTGTCTTGGCCGCACTCCTTAATGTGCCTGGGGAAAGCGGAGGCTCTGGCCACCTTTCACTTAAGTCCAAGTGAAAGCACTCAGATGCTTCCGAAGGCGCAGAGAGTGGGGAGCAGAGCCCCACATTGCTGCCTGCGTGTCCCTGTCATACTCATCCCCTCCCGGCCTCACTCTCACCCTTGCTCAGTCGGGTCAGCCTGCAAGAGTCTGAGTCTCCTCTCCCCCAGGCTGTAAGGCCCTCAGCTGACCAGGAGGCAGGAAGCCAAGCTGGGACACAGGGAGCTGTGCTTGTGAGGCAGCAGCAGGGACAGGTTCACCTGCTTAGGGTGGAAGGGGCTGGAATCTGAAGTGCTCTTTTGGGGTTATTTCAGGTTGGCTGTGGGTTCCTGCTCCCTTCCTCCTCCCTTTGGTAGGCAAGTCATCGCACAGTTCCTAGAAAAGAACACTGGCAGCCTGGAGAACCACTGCCAAAGCCTGACTCAGAGCAGACCCTGCTGACGCACATGGCCTGCTCTGCCCCTCACTGCCATTGCCCTCCTGTCAGGGCCAGCCGGGGGGTCTGGAACTCCCAGGGAGCTAAGTGCCACCCAGCCAACTTGGGTGGTGCAGCTGAGGCCAGAGAAGGGTTGCCAGTCTTCGGGAGGCCTGGGAGCTGACCGTGTCCTTCCTGTGGGAGAGACTCCAGGCGCCTCTGTGGCAGGCAGGGCAGTGGAGCTGCTCCTCCCCCAGCACCCCCACCCTGCCTGCCTCTTGCTTCCACCACAGAGGTCTGGAAAGTCCTGGCAGCAGGGTGGGGTTGAAGCTTCATCTGTGCTGCAGGAGCCTTCTCACCCTCTGCTTCACAGTCTTGTCTTTCCTGGGACCTGCCATTGGCGGCCTTTGCCAGGTATACCAGCCCACAGAGGGTGAGAGGTGACAGCAGCTTCCCTGTGTGCCAGGCAGCTGGCTAAGTGTCTGCTGTGAACTGTCTTCTTTTGCTGGATCCCAGCACAGTCCCGAGAGTCAGGCGTTAGTATGTTCCCTGTTTCACAGAGGAGGAGATGGAGGCTTGGTGAGAGGCACTCAGCAAGGAAGTGACAGAGCTCGGACCAGGACCCTCACAATCTGAATCTCACCTTCTCTTTCCCTGAGCTGTTCTCCTCCCAGTGTCTTGAATCTTAGACCACAGGATGCATTTGTGGCTGCTGTAGCCAGGGCCAGAGAATACACAGTGCGGCTTTGTGGGAACCTTCCAGACTGGGGGCCTGAGCAGTCATCCCAGTCGGGGCTGCGACTTGGGAGGTTCAGAGCAGAGCAGCAGGCCTCTTATGTGTGCGTGACTCCTGCTGAGACCCCTTGCCTGGGAGGGGCCTGCGCGAGAGCTAGATCTGCATTTCTGCTGGGAACATGAGGACAGAAGCCTTTGTTTGCACCAGGTCCTGCCAGCAAAATTCCCCAGGATAGCTGCTCCGGAGCCTCTTGGATTCCGCTCCTGGGGAAATCCACCTTCAGCCACACACCCTGTGTGTCTGACACAACCCTCCCCACAACCAGAGAGGCTTTTCTATCAGAGGCAGCCCAAGGCCACTTGTAGAGTTTCCCTTGCTCCCACCCACCCAGCTTCCAGGCTCAGCCAGCTGGCGCAGGGGCAGGGCACTCAGATAGGAGGCGCCTTTCCTTGCTAGTGCTCCCCTAAAGGGGTTTTTTTTTTTTTTTAAGGCAGCATTTTGTGTAGTTAACCAGATGGAGTTCAAGTTTTCCATCCTCCTGCCTTAGCCTGCCCAGAGGCTGGGATTACAGGCTGTGTGCCACCACACTTGGCCCCAGGGGGCCTCTTGCAGGGGGTCTGCCCATTCCTCCCACACCAGGTATGATATGGGGGTCCTTTCTGGGGACTCCTTTTGGTCTACTTTCAGGACTTCCCAGAAAGGATCAGAGCCCAAAGCAGCTTGCCTCATGACTCTCAGAGGGGGGGCATCTGGTCAAGGCAGGATCTGGAATACAAGGCAGGGATGAGTCAGCCTTGATGGAACAGAGAGAAAAGTCAGTCAGGGGCTGGGCACTACACATCTGGGCAGCTGTCAGTCCTGAGTGCAGGCTCTAGGGTCTGACAGACCTGGGTTTGGATCCTCTTTAGCATTCGCCAGCTGTCTGACTTCAAGCAAGTGAAGCCCATTTGCACCTATGTCCCTGAATTGCACCATCTGAAACGGGACAATGAGAAAATCTCCCTCATAAACCCACTATCTTACCAACTACTCAACTGATAGTGACAGAAGGAACTGGCGAGAGGACAGAAATGCCACCCAAGGGTAGACTTCAGAGCTCTATCAGCTGAGCTCCAGGCTGGTCACTTCCTCCAAAGCAAATTATGCCTGGCCCACTGGAGAATGCAAGCGTGCCCCTGCCCGTGCCACGGCCCTGCCAGGGAGTCCACTCTGGCGTGACTGACCTCTGGGCCTGCCTGCTCATTCATGGGGACTTGGGTCCTCCCCTGGGGTGAGTTAGTGGCTTCCAAGAGAGGAAAGAATACCAAGGGGTGCCCAGTTGCCCTGCAGGGGTTCCAGAATTGCTGGAATCCTCAGCACGATGTCTGTTCTGGGGACTCTACCACGTGCTAGGTAGCAGTGCTCCCCAGCAATCAGACCCCTGCCTCACCTGCCAAGGAGCATTGCCCTCCCATGGGGCAGGACTGCTGCCTCCTCAGTGGCAGGGCTCTGTTTCCTGGAAGCACTTCCTGCTGAGCTTCCTCAGGGTCCTACTGCAGCACCCAGTGCTTTCTGATGGAGCAGAGTGGGAGAGGGCCGACTGCTCAAAGCTCTGGTAGAACCCAGAGATAGCAGAGCTGCCCCTTGTCCCTCAACAGCCCACAGTGCCCACCTTCTGGAGTGAACTATCCTCCGCAGACTCCAAGAGGTACGAAATCTGGGGTGCCTTGGGCCAGTAGCTCTGAACCCAGAGCGGCCCAGGGAAGACCCAGACCAGCGGGTGTGTTTGTCCTCCAGAGGTGAGCTCATTGCCATGCTACATCTGCACCAGCGTGTGGACCCCTGCCATGTGTGCTGTCACTGTAATCCCAGCACCACGGGACACCTTGATGACTCAGTGAGACCTTGTCTCAAAATAAAGGAAAGAGGATTAGGGATGTGCTTCAGGGTGAAAGCCTGGGTTCAGTCCTCGGTGCCTCCAAAAGTTCCATGGTGCCCTGCCCTGGTTCCACCGGTTTCTAGAGGGTATAGTCTCCTGGGGCTGCCCAGAAAGGTTCCCAGGCCATCCTCCCAGGGCAGGGGCTCAGGTTTTGGAAAATCAGTGCGACTGAGCTTGTGTGTTGTCGCTCTGTGCAGTACTGTGACGACTGTGCTGCCGCTTTCCCCTCATTCCCTGTTAGCCTCGAGACAGTAGGGGTTTTGGGGAGTGTTAGATGACACACACAGGCTTGCTCCTCCCAGCCCTGTGCTGTGCCCATTTAGATGGCATTGCCAAGGCATGGACTCCATGGAGAGAGCCAAGGGCCCCAGAAAGGATGGGCTGTGCTGTCAGCAGGGGCCCTGTCTTTATCTAGATGGCGTATTTCCATACTCCACTGGGGGACATGGACCCTGTACTGCAGGACCTGGCTTTCCCAGCAAGGCTCCTGGCCCTGTGAGCTGGGATCCCTCCCCAGGGACACTCAGGGCTGCTCTCCGTGTCCTCTGCAGGGAGATGGGGCTCAGTGGATGGGAGCGGGTACTCAGTTGTGCAGCGGAGGTTCAGGGCCTGCTGTCAGGGTACTGCCTGGACCCAGTGGGAGACTGTAAGATAACACGCTCCTGGACTCCCTTTTTTTGATTTCTGAATGAGAAAATCAAACTGAATTTCTTGGTCATTTCCAACCTAGAAAACCAGGTGAGGTCATTGAGGGGCAATCTCTGAGCGTCCTGAGGTGTGCCCCTGACATGCAGTCAGGGAGGCCGGTACAAGGGAGGCCTGCAGGTTACAGTGGCACACGTTCCTACCACATAGCTTGGCAGGTCCTAGCAGAGTATGCAGGTGCGACTCCTTTGCTCCCTGGGTGAGTCTGGGCCCCGCTATTTCAGTTCAGGTTTGGGAACTGGCCCAACAGGACACCTGGCTCTGGCCTGGTGGCTGCCTATAGACACCGAGGTTTGTTCTGTCTCCCTCTGGTCCCCAGAACTCATCGGATAACCATCACCAACTTCTGCCTCGGGAAGCATCTCGTGAGCGAGGGTGACCTGCTGAAGGACCAGAGGGGGAGCCCCGCCTACATCAGCCCGGATGTGCTCAGTGGTACGGTGTGCCTGTGCCAGACAGCAGGTCCTGGCTGCACACAGCAGGCTCTGTAGCAGTGCATGCGCTGCTGTGAGCAGGCCCTGGGCCAAACCAGTTCTGTCCCTCTGTACAAAAGCTTTGGTCTAGTGGAGCGGGGAGGCATGCTGGTCACAGTCATGCATGGAACGAGACAGGGACAGGATTTCAGGACGTGTATATCAAGATGCTCAAAGGATTGTCCTGGTGTATGGCCAGCTTTCTTTTGCTGGGACAAAATACCTGAGAATAACCACTTACAGAAGTAAAGATGTATTTTGATTCCGAGTTCAGAGGTTCCAGACCCTGGTCACTGGGCTCCATTTCTTGGGCCAGAGGCCAGGCTGAGTATCAGGGTGAAATGGTAGAGCAGAGCCGCTCACCTCATGGTGCCCGGAAGCAGAGAGGGGGCTGCAGGCTCCTGGTACCGATGTCCGAGGGCCGTTCTTCCCCACTGAGCGGTGTGTCCTCTGCCTCCAGGCCGGCCCTACCGAGGCAAGCCCAGTGACATGTGGGCCCTGGGGGTAGTGCTCTTCACCATGCTGTATGGACAGTTCCCATTCTACGACAGCATCCCACAGGAACTCTTCCGGAAGATCAAGGCTGCTGAGTACACCATTCCTGAGTGAGTCCTGTCTCCCAGGAGAGGACGGGCTACCCTCTGGGCTCATGATGGGGAGACAGCACAAGCATCCCTGGAGTCCTGGATCAGAGTCCAGCCCATGCCACTGTGCTGAGCCCTCTCCTTCTTCCTCTCCCTGGGCAGGGATGGGCGGGTCTCTGAGAACACCGTGTGTCTCATCCGGAAACTGCTGGTCCTCGACCCCCAGCAGCGTCTGGCTGCCACTGACGTCCTGGAAGCCCTCAGTGCCATCATTGCATCATGGTGAGTGGGCTGGTGCTGGGCGTGCACCAGGCTGGGGACTTAAGCGCTCTGCATTCTATCTGCTGCTATGCCAGGCGGTCACCTGTCCAGAGGGTACAGGCAGAGTGTGGGTGGACGTTGCTCACTGAGTTCTCACCACCTCCACGGGGCCGAGGGCTTTCCCCCTTTGTTGGATAACAGAACGGCTCAGAGAAGCAGTTGTCAGGTAGGAGCTGGTTGACTCCGGCCGGGTCTGGAACAGCGGGGACCTGGCAGCCTGACCTGTCCCCTCCCCTGCAGGCAGTCCCTGTCCTCTCTGAGCGGGCCTTTACAAGTGGTTCCTGACATCGACGACCAGATGAGCACCGCAGACAGCTCCCAGGAGGTGAGCGGGGAGGAAGGGCACAGGTGGCGGCTCACTGCAGGCACGAGGCACCCTCGGCCTTCCTCCGGAACCCTTGGAGTGAGAAAGGAGACCGAGCTCCACCTCACAGCGGGCGGTGGAGGCGGAGTCCAGATCCTGGCACTTCCCACAGTGGGGACGTCCTCCCCGGCCCTCTCAGCTTCTTCTTCCCGCCCACGTCACATTTCTCCCTCTTCTGACTCACTGGATTCTCTTACCCTTCCTGCTTTTCATTTTAAAAATGATTCATTTATCCCTGTTTTCTCTCCCCCTCGTTCCCTACTCCGGAGAAAGTGCTAGAACAGAGACAGCGCTAGACAGCAGGTGGCGGGTGATCTTAGGGTGCCCCCTGGAGGGCACGGCTCGCTGTTCCCCGGGAGGAAGGTGGGCCTGAGATGGAAGAGTCCCCTTCCTGCCCGCCTTGGAACAAGCAGTGGGCAGATAGGAGCGGGAGGGGCCACGGCAGAGCTTCCGGCCTCTGAGAAGAGAGTTCCAGCCGGGCCGCATCTCCCACCCTCCCTAGAGCTGTGCTTCTCTCAAGTACCCTCATTTGCAAGCAGGAGTGCCCAACTCTGGTTCATCTCTTTCAGTCCTCCCTATGGCCTGGGGGCCTGTGTTAGCCCCATCTGATAAAGGAGAAATGCGAGGTTCTGAGAAGTAAAATGGTTTCCCCCAGCATCACACGGCTTGGAGGTAGTGGAGCTGAGCCTTGAACCCAAGTCTGGTTCTGGAGCCTTGCCTTCCTCCCTGATAGCAGCACCGGGAAGGACCTCCCACTAACGTTTTCCTCTGCCTGTGCCCCGGGGAACTCAGGCTGGGGCTCCGTGTCTGGCGCTGAGATAAAGAAACAGGAGCACCCAGGTTCAAGCACCCGGCCACGCTCTTTTGCTCCTTGGCAGGCATTGGCTCCCTCACGGTGAGGACGCTAATGTGACCACTCCCAAAGTCAGGGTTAGGAAGGGAGGGGTCCTGGTCACACCAGAGGTCTGTGCTGCAGTCAGAACCCTCTGCAGAGACAGCCCCAGCCGCCGCCAAGGGGAGGGCCAGTTGGATGGAGGCCTGCAGGGACGCATGCTCAGCCCTTGGCTAGCTGGTGCCCGAAATGTGGCACGGGAAGGGCGGCCTCGGCGGCAGGCTGCTGACACTCACTCCCTACCTCTGTCTCTGCTGCCCTGTCTTTGTCTCCATGTCGGCCTCGCAGGCGAAGGTGACAGAGGAGTGCTCTCAGTATGAGTTCGAGAACTACATGCGGCAGCAGCTGCTGCTGGCCGAGGAGAAGAGCTCCGTGCATGAGGCCCGGAGCTGGGTGCCAAAGAGGCAGTTCGGCAGTGTGCCTCCGGTGCGACGGCTGGGCCACGACGCGCAGCCCATGACCTCCTTGGACACGGCCATTCTGGCACAGCGCTATCTGCGGAAGTAGTGGCCTCAGCCAGGGGCAGCTAGCCCCAGCGCCACCTCTTCGGGCCCCCAGCGCACGGCCTGGCTGTCGGGGCTGGGTCCTGTAGTGCTGGACTCTGCCAGGCTGCAGTGGGGACAGGACAGGGACAGGAACAGCCCAGGTCACACATGCGGTCAGCAGAGGTACACAGAGCTACCTTTTGGAATGATTGCGTGATTGTTTGGTTTTTTAATCTGAGAAGCGTAGATAACTAATCTGCTTTTAATCATGACATTTTAATCTACCTCTGTCTCTAACCATGCTGTCTCTGGACTGAGTGACGAGAGGACGGGCCACCCACTCGCCCAGGCCCTGACCCAGCCGCCGGCCGCCGGCCACTGGGGCCGCTGCTCCCCACAGTCCAAATAAGCTGAAGGTGCAGCTCGCTGCTGGCTCCCAAAATGAATGCCCGCCCTCCCCGGCCCCTCCCACCGTCCATGCTGCCCTTCTGACCCCAGCCCCTCAGTCCAAGCTTTGGAAAACCTCCTCTTCATCTTATACCGAATTCAAATATATTTATTTTTTTACGAAACCACATTCTCCCCCTTTCTAGGTGGCCCAGCTCTTGGCCATGCCCCGCCCGCACCTCGCTGGACGGCGGGGTCCGCAGTCCCACCCTGGCTTCCCCACTTGCCCCAGGCACAGAGGCGCCCTCGCCAGTCCCTCTGCCCCAGTCCGCCGGGCCCCGTCTGCCCGAATGGGAGGCCTTTGTGGACTCGGCTCTTCCCTTCGTCTCAGCTCCTCTGAGGTGCTGCGCGATAGCCTTGCTCCCTTCTCCATGTTTCCTGTGGTAACCAGGTAACCGGACCCAAGTGTGGGCGGAGCCTGTGGCCGAGCCGCGCAGGCCTGGCCTGGGAGGTGGCCCTGCTCGAATGCACCCTCGCTCCTGCGCCCCAGCACATTCACAGAACAAACAGTGGGGACCTCCCTGCCTGCCCTTGCCTCAGAGGAGAAGTGGTGTTTTCTCCCCAGTGCATGTTGGCCGGGGACCTTCACGGGGCTGGGCGTGTTGGGGGCAGAAATTAGGGATTGAGATCCTACCCTGCCTGGCTTGAGAACAGCCCTGCTACCCTTTTGAGCCATGATTTTGAAGTGGATGCCAGTCTTGCCAGAAATGCTGTTCTCACCAGAATGCCCTGCCCTGCCCAGTGTCAAGCAAAGACCCTTCCCTGGAGACCTACCCACCGTGTGTCCTCTGAGAGGCCGAGTGTCCCTTCCAGGCATCTGTAGGCCTCTCCTGCCTGTCCTTGCTCCTCACTGTGATTCCCAGAGTGTGAGCTGCCTCCAGTCCCCCTAAAAAGCTGACTCACTGTGAGTGACATTGGGCAAGTTCCCAAACTTCCTTGTGCCTCAGTTTCCCCATCTGGAAAAAAATGGGGCCACCTCTTGCCAGCAGTAGCAGGGCCACCCATGCCCCTTCCCCGTGTCCCAATCCAGTACTCGGGCGCCTCGTGCCTCAGTGGGTCTGTGGGAGCCCGCCACTTACTCCCGGAGCACCCAGCTCTGCCTCTATCTCAGCCATCAGCTGCCGAGAGCCAGGGCATGGTGCTGTCTCTTTTCTATATTTATTTGATAAAAGTCTCCTAAAGGAGCAGAGATGTGTGGCTGGCCCGGGCTCCCAGCCCTGTGACTGTCGTGCGGTGAGGCTCACGCCTGGCCAGGGCCTGCCTCGGTGGAGCCCCCACCCAGGACCCTAGGGCCCGTTTTCCATGTGGTCTTTCTCCTCCTTTTCAAAGCAATATCCTCGGGTCTGCACAGCCCTGTCAGACAGACTGGTTCCTCCAAAGGCGACCCATGAGTCTGATGGCATCTCTGGAGCAGACGAGAGGAGGCTGTCTGCCCTCACTGGTGTCACATACTGAGAGAAGGCCTATTGTAAAAACACAAAATGGAAACGTCACAAAAAAGTTTGTATAAAGACATATTTTTGTACTACATGGGGACTCCACCTGCATGTCAGCAATAAAACTTCCTTGTCTGGAGCCACTGTGGTCCAAAGCCTCTGCTGTTCTTACCTCCTCTGTGCCTCCATTGTGGGCCTCGCCCTGCCCATCTCTCTAAGCCAGCAGGTCTCGCCACCGGGCGCACCTTCACCGGCAGCTAGCAGGTGGCACCCAGCCTCATGTCATGGGCTGGGCGCGTGCCCAGAAGGAGCCGGCGTTCTCCCGGACCCACTGTCCTTCCCGAGCAGCTGTGCCCACATTACACTCCCCGTGCAGACCAGAGAGGCCAGAGCCCTGCAGGTGGAGTACTGGTCCTCTCCGCCAAAGCCCTGTGTGCCCACATGCCCGTCCAGGGAACCGGGAGAGGGTGAGGGCAAGCCAGGCCTTTTCCTGCACCACCTCCCACCCTCCCCTTCCAGGGGTTCCTTCCTTCTTCCCTTCCGTTTCCTAAATTTAGACCGCAGATTGCATTTCCTGAGCAGTGAAGCCAGAGGTGGGCCGGCCCCTCCCCCAGCACACCACGGTGCCTCACCCTGGTCCAGGCTCAGAGAAGCAGAGCTAGGCAGGTGTCCAAATGCAGAGGGCAGCGCAGGCTCCAGCCCAGTCCCTGGGTCTGCCTGCCGCCCACAGCCGACACCCACCCCAGCAGCCCCCAGTCTACAGCTTTGCCTGTGACATTTGGCCCTTGCTCCCAGCCCACCACCGCCACTCTCCTTGCCAGTTGCTGCCCTGGTCCTGGTCCCCACTCAGCCCCACCCCTCTCTCCGCTGTTCGGCATCTGTTCAGGATACAGATGTCTCCTGGTTGCCCGCACTTGTCAAGCTTATATTCATTTAACACGTAAGACAGGGCAGATGGGGACTTGGCACTCAGAACTGTTTCAGTACCAGAAAGTGGGTGTGGTCACTGATCAGTAGCCTAAGCTCAAGTAAGATGACCAGAGGCCAGGTGCACTTCTGACCTGTGTATGAGAAGTGGGGAAGGAAGTGACATGTGGCGTCCTGGGCCCAGGTTCAGCTCCAAAGCCAAGTCAGCCTCCTCGCTTCCCACCACTCCCCAGCTCAGCCTCACTGTGGTGCCCCAAAGCCCTGCTTCTGGCCCCTGATCTGTTCTCCCATCCCCTCTGCCATAGACTGGGAATCACATGACATAGTGCACCTTTTTGGGTTTTCTGACAGTTCAGGCTTTCCTTGAACTCACTGTGTGGTCCAGGCTGGCCTCAAGTTTGGAGCGTTCCTGCCTCAGCCTCCCAAGTGCTCAGATGATAGGCATGTACCACCAGGCTGGCAGCCTCTCTTTTTAAAAGGCTCTTCCCCAGCTCCCTAGCTCCCTCCCCCGACTGATCGCCTTCCTCACTCACCCTTCATCATCACTTTACAAGCTAACATGCATATTCATGCAGTTAGAGAGGATCATGTCTTCCCCCAAATGGTGAGCTCCAAGAATGACAGCAGGAATCATTTGTGTCCACTGCAGAAGCTGGGGCTCCCACAAAGACTGGGGGACACTGCTAGCATTAAAGGGTGGGGTCCAGAGATCCTGACAACCCCACAAAACAGATTTTACATCCTGTACATCAGTGAAAGGCTTGTTTATGAATCTGAGTCCAGTTTACATATAAACACAAAGGCTTTGGGGATATACAGTGTATGTTGAATTTTCCAGGATTCTACCGGGTAAGGTGGAGAAAATGTGTTATTTTATTTTGTCCAGAACTTTACCTCCTCATTCACACACATCTTTACGGCTCTAGCATCAGCCTGCACACACAGTCCCCTTCCCAGAAATGGACCACTTCACAGCTGTGGCCATTCCTTTCATTTCCTTTATTTATTTAGACTTTTTGAGACGGGGTCTTGCTATGTAGCTCAGGCTGGCCTTGAACTCCCTATGTAGCACAAGCGGGCCTCAAACTCATGGTGATCCTCCTGCCTCAGCTTCCTGGATGCTGAGTGTGCTCTACCACACCTTTGATTTCTTTCATATCAGAGGATGAGAACTATTGTACTTCTTAACTGGATATGAAGACTGGTACATTAGCTATCAGTTTTATTACAGGAGTATGAAAATAGAAAGTGTCACGAAAGGCAGCCTGGCGCTGGTGGGTAAAGAACCGCGATGGGAGCTGTTCAGTGGGAAAGTATCAGAACACGGATTCCAAAGTTCAAATCCAAGACCTGCCACTCAAACCCATATGCCCACACATACAATGTGACCACTCAGTCTTAACTTTCTTCCTCTGTCAAATGGGAGTCATGAGAAAAACTAACAAGGAGTGCCAGGCAGGCCCCAGGAGGGGACTCAACATCCGCTCCTATTATATTTTATTGAGCAAACATTCCCGGGACCCTCTTCCCAGCAGCTGTCCTGGGTGCTAAGGCATTGGGCACACAGAGGCTGGCAGGCCTTAGGAGGCCAATGCACCCTTCTCTCTTCCATCGAAGGGCCAGCCCTGTGAGACCCGCCCCATGTTGGATGCAGAGCAGTCAGGGCCAACCTTCACTGCAGCCGGGGAGCAGGGGGCAGGAACAGACTCCTGCTGGGGTTTTGCACTGGTTCCTCAATGTACCAGCTGCTCTGGGGTCCATCTCACAGCCTCTGGATCTCAGCCTCCTGAGCTGCTGTCAGGACATAACTTTCTTATTTCTCTTAGAAGCACTCTGCACCTTCCAAAGTGCCAAATCCCTAGCCTCCCAGGCAGACAGGAAGGCAGAGGCAGCTAGCAAGAGGGCAAACGGGTAGGCAGCAGGTAAGGCCTGGACAGACAGGCAGGGAGGAGGTAGGGAGATCAGCACGTGAACAGCTGGGACGTGAGCCAGATAGGCAGGTGACAGAACACAGAGACCTGAGCCACCTGACTGAAGCTGGTGGCTGGGCAAACAGATGAGCAAGCAGGCTGGGAGAGACAGGCAGGTGGCCGTAAAGGTTGGGGGACCGTGCAGGCAACCACGTAGGCCAGTGGCTTCTGGCACCTTCCCTTAACTCTTCAGAATTGCTTCTCACACTGCCCTGGCTTGGACCACACCTACCCGCCTGGATGAGGTAGCACTGGCACTACTCGTGTCTCTCTCTGCAGGGACCGTCTCACCCCTCACCTTGTCCCTCCAGCGTGGCCTCCTGCTACCCCAGGGTTCAGTCACACCTGACCGGCTCCACACACGCAGGTCACAGACCTAGACACATCTTTGCCCGCAGGTTTAGATGGAGTGATCTACACAGCACAGAGATGAACAGAAACAGCTGGAGAGAAACACATCCCAAACTCCACATTGCACACAGATGCAGGGCCCTCGCGGGGCACAGGTGATGTGTCACGTAAGTGAGCACACAAGCCTCAATGTGCGCAGTTACATAAGTGCAGCTGTAGCACACACCAGTACTCGTGGGGGATAAGCAACAAGCACATCAACACACTCCCAGCAATGCAGTACATAAACATACCACGCTGTCAGTCACACGAACGCCCCGAAGAAGGGAACTCACCAGCAGTGCCCAAGCCAGGGCTGGGATTCTGTCCTCATCTTTACCTCTCAGCCCAAGGTAACAGTGCCATTCTTGTCCCTGCTCCGGCTGCTCCCTCACTGGTCTCCCCCTGCAGACTCCTCCAGGTAACCCTCCCTCCCTATCAGGAACTCAGGCTTCAGACCTGTCTCTCCCAGTTCCCTGGCCCCGGGGGATTCACCCATATTCACACCTGGGGTGCTAAACCTGCCTCGAGTTTCCAGGCTGGAAATAGGGGCTCCATTTGCCTCTCCGACACCTCTACCCAGGTACCCAGTGGACATAATGAACCAAACAGCTAGAATAAAAGTCACTCCCTGCAAACCTGCTTCCCGGTGTAGACTTTCCTCATGTACTCATGCCCAGAGCGAGGCTAACTTCCTCTTTCCCTCATGTCCACGTCCACACAGGAGCTGCCCTCACAATACCACCTGGATCTGGCCCTGCTTCCCTCTACCAGCCAGCCAGGTCCAAACCCAGACACCTGAGATCCCTTCCTGCACTGCATCGTTTTGTCTTTCCAACTTAGTGTTAGCTGTCCGTACTGTTTACTGCTAAATCCCCATTCCTGAAGGGTTAGGCACCTGCTGCTAACATTTATTGACAAGGAGCTGTATAGATTTAAGACAGGAGTACCTACCCCTACACACACTGGAGCGGTATTCCATAAAAATAGACAACTACCCAGTCTCGGGCAAGAAGCACGTCTGCACTGCTCACAAAGCACACCATAAACAGTCACAGAGATACACAGGTGGGAGTCAGTCTTGGTCCTATCCCCGGTCTAGATTTGCCCTCGACTTGAACCTACTCTCAGGCCTGGGGGAGTGAGGGTGAGGGTCTGCAGCCCGGCCAGGGAGGGGGTCGCGAGCCCACAGACCTCAGGCAGAGCCTTCAGCTATGTCTGCAATTTCCTCTCCCAGTCCTTCCCTCCTCCTCTCTGAGGCTCTGGCCAAGAAGGCCTCCCCCTCACCCCAGCTCCAGCACCAGGAGGGGAAGCCACGCGGAGGGGTGTTGCCGGCCAGAAGGAAGACTGCCAGCTGCACACACGGATCACACAAACCCTTGCAGGCAGCAGCCCTGAGCCCAGGTGGGCAAGTACGTGAGCGCCCGGGCAGGTCGGGGGAGGCCCTTTCTGCAGGGCTCCTGTCCAGGAGCTCAGGAGTTCCCAGGCACTAGAGGCCGGGCCCTGGGATCTGCACGCCTGCCCGGCCTGGCCCAACAATCATTAACACAGGGTGACCGCACCAGAGCTTGGCCAGCTGCACACACTTAAACCCAGCCCTGGAGGAGGGGCTAGGGGTGCTGGGCAGGTTATCGGAAGGACTGGGGAGGCCAAGGGAGCCTGGGAGCTGCGGAAACTTCTCCACTCCCAGAGGAAGTAGTAAGGTAGAGAAGTGGCTTAGACAGGGTTCCAATCCTGAAACTTTGGTTGTTATTCCGTCTCTCCATGACTCAGTTTACTTTACCCGCAAAGTGGGGATGATGATACCCACGTTATAAGGTTACTAGGCTTAAATGAAAGCTTGAAGGAGTTAGCCTAGGGATCCCCGCATCTCTGCAGAAGCGAACCTCACGAATAACAAAGTTGTTATTACCGGCCTGGGGGCGGCCCCTGCCAAGGCCTCCCCAGCGGCTTCCTGTGCGGGAGGGCGCCCCCTCCCCTGCCCTCCCCTTCCTCCGGCGCTCTTCCTCCCCGCCTC